CTTGAGAGCTAAAGACAGGGGATCCTCAGGACAAGCTGGCTTGCTACCCTAGACCTTGCCTCAGTAAATACAGTGGGGAGCAACCAAAGAATACATTGGACATCAGTTCAGGTATGTACACACACAGACAGGTTCATACATATCTTGGCACACACGTATGCATCCACACACATGCAACCATACACTCATACCACACACATACACACTACCAAAGAAATTAATAAAATAAAATGTGGTGAATTCTCTTGTATATACAAGGAAAGACTCAGAATTTAATGTGTGTGGGAACCATACTACGGGGGCAGTGGGGGGGTGGGGCACTGAGGGAATTCCCCAGGATGTACTGGAGTTCAACAGAGGCTGACGCTGGGGTGATTCATGCAAAGATGAACCATTCATGATGTGCTAAATCCATGGATGAAGAAAATAATCTGATGCAACTAAAGCAAAAGAATTAACTGGGGAAAACTTGGAAAAATCCCATGAGATTCTTAGCTTTAGAGCTGGGAGAAAATTTGAGAAATAAACACTAGTGTAATTACGTAAGGGTTACCTTCAAACAATTCAGAGCCACTTTCTTTGAGAGTCATGCATATATTGTGTATGTATGTATTGTGCTTTTATAAACACAGTAGACCTTTCTATTAAAAATACAAAGTCATGTTGGGTATGGTGGCGCATGCCTTTAGTCCTAGCACTCCCGAGGCAGAGGCAGGCAGATCTCTGTGAGCTCAAGGCCAGCCTGGTCTACATAGTGAGTTCCAGGACATCTGGGGCTACAAGGAGACCCTGTCTCAAAAAAGACCAAAAAAAAAAATACAAAGTTATGTGTTACATGTCATGTATGAGACTCTGGACAAGAAAATGAAACAGTACCAAAAAACACATATGGGAGCACAAATGCTCTTAAATTTTAAGGAAAAATATCAATCAGTCTGGTCTGTACTGGTGATTTAGTTTAACCCTCAATATTTACAGACTCCAGATTGGACTGGAGAATGTTTAGGGAAGCAGGCATGGTGAGTTAAGACAGGACAATAAAAATACAGAAACCCCTCACACGTCATAAAGAGTCCTTCACAAGACAGGAAACCAGTTCTGAATCCTGAATACCACAGTTTAACTTTGCAAACAGACCACTTCCTAAAGGACAGAAAATACAGGAAACTTCCATAAACTCCTAATTCATTATCTTACCTGGCTGCCTACTCAGAACCACAAGTAACAAAGCTTTCAGGTTTGTGTATATCAATCATGCAAGTCGTGAAATACTCTAGGTGATAGTACATGCTGTGTATCTGACTGACATTCTTCATCTTCGGAAACCTCTCTGCCATGCTGCAGCTCTGTAGCATTCTAGTGAGATCTATAGACCCAAGGATCCCAAGGGAGCGTGTCCCCTGGAGCTGAGCAGGGTAGATGAAAAAATAAACAGGGCACTTTTCCCTAGCTGCGACAGGAGGGCTAACCTAGTGCACTTTGCTGCGGCTCTCTATTTTTCCTTCTTCCTTTCATTGTTATGTGTGTTTCTTACTTTCAGGTCTGTGGACAACACAGGTCTTAGCAGCTTAGTGTATTATCATAACCAAATTCTTTTCACTGCAGAGTTGTGAATTCACTCCCTCACCTTAGCAAGTTCCCTGGAAATGCTCTTATATATTTAACTGAAGGGAAATTTAAAAAAAAAAAAAGGACTTTAAAAAGTGGTAGTAGTTACATTGTGTGATTGCACACAGAGATGATTACATTTAATATTCTCCTTTGTAACTGAGTTATGTTGAAGAGTAATAGAGGGAAGCACTTTCATTTGTTTATTCTAAAGCTGAGATTTTTGCCATTAGGGACAACATTCAATTATTTTCTTTAATTCTGTGGCCAAAAAAACTCACTGTTTGAGTGGAATGGGTGACACTGTCTTTCCAATGCACATTCTCACATCTCATCATATACTTTCACATAATTTGGGTACAAACAATGGCCTAGCTGACTTATCTAAGAAATACCTATGTGTGATCTGTCATCTACCCAAATATTATAAAATAGCTTAATGGCATTCCACTGAATTTGTCCTCTTTTTACAGATTTTTTTAAATTATGTGAGTGTGTGTGTGTGTGTGTCTCTGTGTGTGTCTCTGTGTGTCTGTGTGTCTGTGTATGGGTATCGGTATGGGTATGGGTATACCCATGGGAGTGCAAGTGCCTCAGAGGCTAGAGGAGCCAGATCTCCCAGGAGCTTGTCACAGGAGGTTATGAGCTGCCCGACATGGGTCCTGGGAACCTGTGATGGTTGGTCTTCATGTCAAAAATTGCCACAAATTAGAATCCCCTCAGTGATGGGCTCAAGTGATGTGAGAAGTCCCAGCCCAAATGTGGATGGCGCCTTCTGGTAACAGCCCTGATAAAAAGGTCACAGCAGGAGGATTGCTCGCTTTTGCTCACTTGGCCTTCCCTCCTGTGCCAGGTGACTGCACCGCTGTTGTTGCTGCTGATTCCTTCACTCACGGAACCAATATGAGAATGACTCTTTCTGGGAGTCTTTGCTTTTATGTTGCTCATTGTGGGTCTTGTTCTGATTAGTTTTGCTTACAATGTGTGGTTTTATTGAATATGTGTGCATTTCATACAAAACATCTTAGACATCTTTATACCCCTTCCCCATCCACAACCACCATAGCCACACACACACACACCGGGCTTCATGCACTCTATCATATATGTTAAGGCCTATGAAGTCAAACTTTTGTACCCAGATGTCCCTCGTTACTGGCATTGTGGCCCCTGGTAGGTCAACCATGTGCTAGCAGATGGCCACAACAAAGGGTACATGGGTAATATAAATTAGACTCAATGAGTTAAAAATAAGAGGACACAAGTTTTGGTGGGTATGGGAGGGGCAGGCAGACCTGGGGGAAGTTGAAGGAGGGGTGAATATGATCAAATTACATTGTACAAAATTCTCAAAGAACTACTTTAAAGAAAACTGACTTTCCCTCTCCTGGAAGTGATTACCTGCAGATAGCTCCTCGGGTAGGGGTGGGACATCCTACACGCAGCCCACCTCCATGATGAGATTTTGAGTGCCGAACTTTCAGCTAACTGTGGCTCCATCCCTGAGGGACCCACCAGCTGTTTACTACAGGGCATCTCTGACTTTCTACAGCCTCAAGGAACTAGGGAAATCTCTGTACAATGCCCTCCCTCAGGGGTTCATTTTTGTATATAAGAACAATGATGGCTTCCACTATAAAGGTTGTTTTTGTTTTCTTTTTAATATTTTAATTGGCTTTTTTAACTTTTATTTTATGTGTGTGAGTGTATTACTTGCATGTATATAAGTACATCCAGTGTCAGTCATCCTGTGCAGATGCATAGCCCTCTGGATGTCTATTGGCAACCAACTTGAACCATGCTGGAAATTCATATCAATACCAGGCTGCCTCTACATAAACAGGCCCTCAGACCTACCTTGATTCCCTACAGATTGTGTAGTCTTTTTCTATATGCTGTCTTTACAAAATAGATTATTAAAATTAATTTTTTTAAAAAAGCTGGGGGTGGTGATACATGCCTGTAAGCCACTTGGGAAGTACAGGCAGGAGAAACAAGAACTTAAGGCTAGCTTGGGTAACATGAGACTTAGCCTCAAAAAAAAAAAAATTCCCTCCACTCCCCCAGAAAAAAAAATCTAACTTAAAAAAGAGCAAGATTGGAGACTGGAGAGATGGCTCAGCAGTTAAGAGCACTGGCTGCTCTTGCAGAGGACCTGGGTTCATTTCCCAGCACCCACATGGAGGCTGACAACCTTCTATAACTCTATTTCCGGGGGTCCGGTGCTCTCTTCTGGCTCCATGGGCACTGCACACCACCAGTGCCCTTACATAAGTGAGGCAAGGCACTCATACACATGAAATAAAAATAAATACATTCATAATTTCTAAAGAACAAGAAAAAATGCAAAATGTCTAACTTCTGAAAAAAATTGCATCATTCATTTATAAGTTGGAGCTGAGTGTAGGAAACCAGGATGCCAGGCCCTAGAGTGAGGTGAGCCTAAAACTTATAGGCCCAGGCTGCATTCTCTGCTAAAGGGAGTGGCACTGAAATCAGTGGCTCTGATAATCCCTGTCCTGCAGAACACTGTTAGACTGGCAGGAGGAAGCGGCCTGGGCAT